TCTGCTGCTGTAAGTTACTTCTAAGGTTTCCCCACCCACTACACATATCTCGGTATCTCTTCTGGTGTGTTCAAACCACAGATGTATGTATTGGAGTGTCTGTGGTTTAAAGTGAGGCTGGATGCTTCATGCAAGCTTAACTAGGATTTAAATGTTCCCGACATCACTTGAATACAGCGTGAAGAGAAAATCCTTGGAAAAAATGATGAAACAGCTCACAGGTTGGCAAACTTATCACAGAAACAGAATATACGTTTAAAATATATGAATTTAGTCATGTTTGCAAGGCAATTTAAGTTATTAAAACATATTAGAATCATTATAATGCATAAACATGCACCAGTTTTTGTGAACATGCATCTTAACACATAAAACAAAAAAAATGGAAATTGGCTGTTTGCTACATTAACAAGCGTGTGCCATGTGCTTTGTACAATAACATTTCATGTTTTCAAGATGAAGACTAATAAATTATGTAGCATTTGCATGATATTCAATAAATTAACATTCATTTGAGTTGTTCATGTTGATGTAAATTGAGTCCGTCTAGCTCATATACAATCTGATGACATCACAAGAACAGGAGCTTTTTTAAGAGGACTGTTGACAGGCAGAAAGGTCAGCAGAAATCAGTTATCATGTGATTTAATGGCTTTACTTTAACAATTAGCAATTCTGTTGGACCAGAATCACTCACTAACTTTAAATACTGCAAAAATCCCAGTTAAATTAAGTTAGACCCAAGCACACAAACAGCACACATACACTAAGTTGTAGCAACATAACTGCTTTATCATTATTTCCTCAGACAGAGAAGCTATTTAATGTTCTGTGATTTTTTAAAACTTTCATTCAAGGTTATTTTTTTGAGTGTAGTTGGAGTTTCAGTCCAAAGCCTGCTTTTACTTTCTAATTACAGTGCAGCTTAATTTTTGATCATCTAATCTTTCATGGTTATATGCCTATTTCAACATCCACCCATTATCTATACACCGCTTAATCCTCACCAGGGTCCTATGTCAACATAATATTTATAATCTGATCAGATTCTCACAACTGCTAGGTTGCTATGCTTTAACTTCAATCTTCTATTTTGCTTATTGATTTTTTGATTAACACAAATGATTTCAGGCCTATTTCCCTGTTGTGGAACATTTTGCCCTTTCTGCATTTTCTTTCTCCCTTACATCACAATAAATCAAGCTGTTAAAAATAATAAAATATGCTCTCAGGGAAGTAATATTACTGAGTTAGGTCATTTAATATGGGAGACGTCTACATGTTGTGTCTTGCATTTTGAACAGGGCCTCTGATGTATTTTTTATGTATGCAGCTTCATTTGCAATCCATATTTTCTTCTTTTTTTTGAGTAAATATTTCAACCCGCATGAAAGCACCGACATCCCCGGGACTGTGGAAGGTCCTCCCGCACTGCGAGCGGTGCTGTGCTGAGGCTTTTTTTTTAACCGTCTGCTGTGCAGCCGACCGTCTGATTTTTTTTTTTAATCTCCATTTTAGACAGTACTGACGCATCAGTAGGCTTCATGATTGGGACAATGTGCCGGGGTATGGTCAGCTCCTGATGGCCCAGGTCCATCAATACCAGGCAGGTAACGCCGACCAGGGGTGAATGATTGTGCATGCATAAAGCGCTGTGTGAGCGGAGAGAGGCAGGGCGACAGAGGATGACATCCAGATGTGCTGAATGCAGTGTTATCTGGGGGTTCACAGACAGTGCATTTAAAATCAGACAGATTTTTTTTGGGTTTGTCAAAATCTGGGTTTGTCGAGAGCATCCAGCCTGCGCTTAATTGGACAGAAAACGCTCTGCAGCAAAAACAATCAATATTCAAACTGCTCCAGGCGCGCAGCTCATTGTGGATCCTTATACGAAACGAACGAATTTTACCCTTTTATGGTCAGCCTATTCAGATAATCATCGTTATCAGCATAGCTTGCCCATATTTATCCACGTTTTGTTTTGTTTTGTTTTTTTTAGGAATTTAAAGGTACAAAACCAGTGTTATAGCGTATTTGCCTGCTCGTCTGAAATGGTAATTTACATCCAGTACTAAAAAATCATTTGAATTGTTCCCATTGTAATGCACATTTGGGAGATTTTAATGACAATGTTTTACTGATAGATAAAATGATTGTCCTGTTACTTTGTATTTTCCTAAGTCTGGACTAACTTGTGGAGTACTGAGGAGTCAGTTCTGCCACTGCATTGGAATAATCAAGGTCAAAGTGCTGCAAAAGCCACCAAGTTTAATTGGTTTTCACTGTTATTAAAACTTGTATTTTCGCAAGAGCATACAATTAAAACAAAACTGGCGACAAAAGTATCATAGCTTAGCTTTTAAATGTTTTTAAGTCGGGCGATATTAATTAATTATAGGAACTTTACAGGTAATTTTGCTTGAAAGGAAAGTGACTGAAATGAAATATGAATTATTAGCTTCTCAATTTATAACGCATAAATTAACGACCAATTTCAACCGGATATTCTGTCTGCAGACAAAATATTGTTTTACCTCAGATAAGTGAATGACTGCTTGATTTAAGTAAATCGGCATATGTTGCAGTGAAAGATGTTTTTTTTTGTTTGTTTGTTTCTTAAAGACCTGAGATGTACTTTTGAATTATGACCGAATTAAAGTTGCGGCAATATATGAATGTAATGGAAAAGGTTTATTATACATGACCATATTTCTTTGTTATTTAAAGCTGCAGCCTGCGTCTCTTTTCCACCCTGGCTGCAAGCTTTGTGTTCAGCTGATCCCGATCCAAATGACGTTGGTATTTTACCATCTCCTGATAACAATGTGTGTGTTTTGTTTGTTTGTTTGGTTTTTTTTAAAATCTCAGTGTCACAGTTTCCCTGGTACTGAGTCGGTCTAAGACCTGGGAGATGGACGGCCAGAGCCCAGGAGGGAAGCAGGCAGACGCTAATAAGACGGTAGCCACCACATCAGCAGCCGTCGCCATGGCAACAGTCAGCTCCAGCGGCACCACGTGCACCCAAGCGCCCTCTACTTCCCTCAGCATCATTCCACCAGATAGACAGGCAGTCCAGGTAATAGACGATACCGAGGACTTGTGCATGCATTGTTTTATTTAACAGGTAGGTAGCCCAGGCAATACACAATACCTGCGACCTCAGCATCTTTTGACTGATTTGAAAAGAAGGTGGTCCAGGTAAAAGGCAGCATCTAGTACCTCTGCATACATTGTTTAATTTTAACAAGTAGGTCGTCCAGGTAATGGACAGTATCCATGACCTTGCATGCATTATTTAATTTACAGGCAGATAGTCCTGGTAATAGACAATATGTAGGACCGCTGCATATAACTTGGTATTCAAAGTGACGGACAGTACTTGCAACCTGAGCTGCCACATTTCGACTTGACAGACAGTTATTCCAGGTCATAGACAATAACAAGCACCCCTGCATGCATTGTTTAAGTTAGCAAGTAAGTAGCCTGGATAATAGACAGTACCTGCGACCTTAGCAGGCACAATTTGCCCGACAGGCAGTTCAGGTAACAGACAATACCTTGGACCTGTGCATGCACTGTTTGATTTAACAGGCAGGTAGTCCCAGCAATACGCAGCACCTAGGACCTCTGCGTGCATTAAGTCCAGGTAACAGGCAGTACCTAGGATCTGTGCATGCATTGTTGAATATAACAAGCAGGTAGTCCCTGTAATACATATCACCTACTGCTGCTGTGAGCACTAACTAGGTAGTCCAGGTAATAGACAGTCCCTGTGACCTCAATAGGCATAGTTTGGCCTGCCAGACAGGGAGTTCAGGTAACAGACAGTTCTTCTTGTGACTGTAAACATTCTCTGAAAAATGTGGATGTTGCGTGGGTCGGATGTTACTAAAAATATAACATATACTGTATAAAGTATATCATTAATTCCACTATAAGTTCCGTGTTGTTTAAAAAACAGTGACCCATATATAAAATAGCTGACCTAAAGTGAAATCAAAATATGGATTTGGTTCCTTTCGAAGAATTTGAAAATATTCAAGCCCCTGGACATCAAAATAAAAGTATATTTTACAAGTCTTTATTATTCTATAAATATTCCATTCCCAACATCTCCAAACGAACACAAAAACTGTTCCAAATATTGGATGTTTTTTTCATTTGACAACTCAATAAGAGCAAATTCAAGACAGTTTAAGAAACCAACAGCCTTGTGCTGCCACAGAGAGGTGATGTTTATTTATAAAGTGCTTTATATGTTTGTCATGTGATCCAACAGGTAATCCAGCACGCCATCCACAGACCTCAGAGCATGGCAGCCCAGTATCTGCATCAGATGTATGCAGCCCAGCAGCAGCACCTCATGCTGCAGACAGCAGCCCTGCAGCAGCACCAGCATCCCTCCCATCTGCAAAGTCTGGCCACCATACAGCAGGTCTGATGGTGCCTTTGTATGTGTCATGTGTTGACATAGCCGTGAGTCATTGGGTGGAAAGTGTAACAAGTTTGTAATGTTTTTCAGGCTTCAGTTTGTCAGAGACAGTCGCCTTCTTCATCCAGTGGCAGTTTGGTTCAGCCTGCTGGTGTTTCCCAAAACTCAGTGAGTGTCTGGGTTACCTTTCTCACCAATATCACAGGCTCTGAGCACAAATATTAACCTCAGAGTATTTCTTTCATATGTCTTTCATCGCGCTGTGCCAAATCCAGATCACTTTACCAGCATCTCCAGTGACAGCCCAGCTGATTGGCCGTACTCAAACATCCACTGCTGCTGCAACCACTATATCCCAGCAGGCCATGCTCCTTGGAAGCAGACCGGCCAACTGTAACCAAGCTCAGATGTACCTTCGAACTCAGATGGTACAAATCATTTTTAAATATCCCGCTGGTAATCGCTACTGTATTACTGGTTTACTCTATTTCTATTTTCACTGCATGTGAGTTTTTCCACCAACATGAAGTTAGAATCCCTGTTGCTTTTATTTTGTCAGCTGATTCTAACTCCTGCAGCCACGGTGGCTGCAGTTCAGTCAGACCTTCCTGCTGTGACGTCCTGCTCCTCTTTACCTACCTCCACTCAGGTAGCCACACACTTAGACAAACTCATGCTTATCACAACACTGCAGTGTTACCATATATGCCACAGGATGTTACAAAGCTTAAAATATATGTGCTAAATAGTTTTCAATTTCTTAAAGTGTTACCTATGGATTAACTAATTCACTGGCTGTTCTTCCCATAAACCCTTGACCTTTGTTTGTGTGTATTCAGGTGCAGAATCTAGCTCTGCGTGCCCATTTGCCTGGAGCTCTGACTACAGCCCACAGTGTCATCTTAAAGCCATCCACTCAGTCCCAAACGCTGTCTCCAGCTGCCTCTATGTCCAAGACGGCAATCTGTGCACTGAAGGCCAACCAGCTGGCTGATGCTTCAACAGAAACAGGACCGCCTGATGTCCCCCATCTGGCTTCAGGAGCCCAGATTATAACCCCAGGTGAGTTGTTCTGTTCTGCGGTTGAAGGAGCTTCACAAGTGAGTCTATCCCAGCTGACTCAGGGTGAAGGCAGGGGACACCCTGGACAGGTCACCAGTCTATCACAGGGCTACACTTAGAGACAGACAACCAAGCACACTCACATCCACACCTACAGACAATTTAGAATCACCAATTAACCTCAACATGTTTTTGGACTGTGGGAGGAAGCCGGAGAACCCAGAGAGAACCCACACTGCACGGAGAGAACAAGTTACTCAGGCCAGAAGGATGTGAATAACCAAGTTTCTTTGACAGATATATGTATCGGAAATTTGATCCAAATTACGAGAAGACTCAGAACTAAGATGTTCATGTAGGTGTAGAGAATTAATTTTTTTCTTGTGAAGTTAAGTTTTATTTTATGCACCTTAGCAGGACTGTGACAGGTACTTTTAGGCCACTTGTAAAAGAGATACATTTGTTTTTCTATTTTTAAGTTGTTTTTTGTTCCTCATGTCTTTCTCTTCATCACTCCCACTACAGCTTACCCTCCAGTACACACCCACACTGTAGTCAAGCAGCAGCTGTCCTGTCCCACAGGCCAGCGGGTGGCGCACCACCAGCTCATCCTCCAGCAGGCCACAGGTGGAGCTCCCAGCCACAGACAGCTCCAGCCCATCGCCCTCAGAGTAGCACCCCAAGAAACCACCTCCAACCCTCTTCCTCTTTCTGTTAAAAGACTGACCACTCCCAGCTCCCAGGCACAATCACGAAATGACCCCCCAGCCCTTTCTCCCTCTTCTCCATCTGTCACTAGCCAGTTTGCATCAACAGCTCAGACCTCAATCCCAGCTGCCACCGTTCAGCCTCAGCCTCCTCCTCTGGTGGCTGCTCCGCAGCGTCGGACTTCGTTCCCACAAGTGCAGAACCAGCCTCCACCCCCTCCTCCACCTCTGGTTCTCCCCAGGCTGCCCCAGAACCCAACAGCCGCCCTCCACAGATTGTCCCTGCACTCGGTCCAGGCTTTGGCCGTCCAGTCCGGACAGGTGCTGCTCACAGAGCAGGAGCTGCCTGTGGCCGAGGCTCTGGTCCAGATGCCCTACCAGAACTTGCCGCCTCCTCAGACGGTGGCTGTTGATCTGAAAGTGCATCCAGTCAGACACACTGAAACTCCGACGGTGAGTCATCACATCCTGTAGGGAGATCTGCTGTTTGTATAATGTGCCTGTTTGACTGAGGTTAGGATGTGCTTTGAATTTCAGGTGGGGCAAACATGCAAAGTGAATGGACTAGGCTCAGAGGAGAGGAAAGATTCTCCAAGTCCACGTAGAGACAGGACACCTACACCTCAAACTGTGCCTCCTAAGAAGAATGGTGCAGGTAGATAATGAAAGAATAAAACAGAGATGGAAAGAATACCACACAGTATACGCCTTTCTAACCCTACAAACTGTCCTTACAAGCCAGGGCAGTGATTCATAAGGTTTGCTCAGAAAAACAGGGCTTATTTTGAAAAGCCTGTCTTGAATAAATCGGGATTATGCTGGTTTAGAGTTAATTGGAGTAATCTGCTGTAAGTGAAGTCTGCTTCATTATAACCTTAAAAAGCAAAACCGACAACATTTACAGCACAAATGAAAAATTGACATGTTAAGCACAAATTGTAACTTTTGCCACCACTGAGCAACATATATTAAAAGTATAATAATAGTCTTGTAAGGAAGATTAACAATATAGAAAGTCTCCTCCTGCAAGTTGACAGGATTGGTTCCTCAAGTCTGTTACAAATGAAATCCCACAAGTCTGAATCTGTGTTTTTGAGAAAGCTGTTAATACGCTGCATTGTAAGGGTGGAAATACTCAGCCATGCTGTTGATTGTTTATGTGCTCTGATGAATAGGACCTCAGTTGGATAATTTACTTCACTGGATGATAATTTAGATAATTTTTAGTTTTCAGTTGGAATTCATTTGGTACAAGTGACACGAGAGCCTCTATATAATGAAAATTCTGTTTAAATACCTTCAAAGTCACTGTTTGCCACTTGGATTTCTAAGTGTATGTATTTTTAATTTTACTGTGTGACATTTAAAAAGGAAGAAATGGTAAATTGTTTGCTATTGTGGTGCTACAGCCATGAGTTACAGCTGTCTATTAATTCTTTTTTTTTTTTTTTTATCCCATATGGTGACTGGACAGATCCTTCAAAGATTTCAGTTCATATGGTGATTCTGTGCGTCCTATGTTAATATGTCACATAGATATTTGACATTTACTGCAGGCAGACTTATTGTCACAGTACAGCAGTAAGAGGAGCCTCATTTATATAACAGGACACGTTTCCATGGTAACAAAGGTCAGACTTTTTTAAGCCTCATGGGAAATTGCTAATTAACCTGGTTTAACTGGTAGTCTTGCTTTACCAAACACCCCTCATCCTCTCATTGCCTTTTATTCTCTGCCAGTGATGTGTTCGTCCTCCGTCACCACCAGTCACTCAGTGATCAGGTCACCACAGGTGGAGGAGCCCTCCCAGCTCACCACCACAACCAGCAGCAGCAGCAGCAACCCCCCTCCTCCATCTCCTCCTCTACCTCTACCCGTCCTCCCTGCTGCTGTAAGAGGCCCCAGCCAGCCCCCCTCTGCCCCAGCCAGCCTCCCAGGAAGCCCTGACAGGACACTGACGTCCCACGTTCTCACACACCTCGTAGAGGGCTTCGTCATCCGGGAGGGCCTGGAGCCATTCCCAGTATGTGGAGGTGCCATTTTAACACAATTTAGGTCCCCAGTAAAGGTGACTTTAAAGTTGATGCTGTAGTTTAATTGGAGACTACACCCTAAAACACGGTAAATCAACTTCAAATCTTGCATTTTGGTGTTTGGTGGCGTATGTTTCTAATTTGTGGATAGTTGGCATTGAGTAATTCTGCTGCAGGTGAGATGGAGAAGTTAAAGGAATTTTGTTGTGTACATAGTCTGTCACAATGGAAGAATCTTCTGCAGATGTGGCTGAAATATTGTAACTGTTCTGGAATTGATATTTGTCTCATAACGTAATATTAATTAATTAGTTAAATCATGCCAGCAAAACGCCTCCACATCATAACAGAGCCATTGGATCTCTTTACTAGAGGTCAAGGCTTCAACGTTTGTCACCTGTCCAACATGAATAAGCATATCCTCCATACAGGGTTGAGCAGGCCAACAGTGTGACTAAATATAATAATACAAAGCAAAGGAAATGAGCATTTAATGTATCTTCAAGTCCTAATGCTTTCTAATCAACACAGTGTAATCCATTAGCATGCAAAAATGTCACCCGTTCTGTGTCAGATGTGACATTTTTGAATGTACCACACCATGCAGGTGGGTCCGTCCTCGCTGTTAGCGGACCAGCAGGCTTCGCTTCCTGAATCCCAGGAGATACAGACCAATGGGGATGCAGCAGAGGACAGTCCTCTGGATGCTGACCAGTCAGATTCAACAGATTCTGAGATGGAAAATGATGGCCGTGCAGCAGATGGTGAGGACGCTACGTATGTGTGTGTGTGTAGGTGTGTGTGTCTGTGTCTGTGTGTCTGTGTATGTGTGTGTCTGTGCACATGTATGACTAACAGCTGGCCCTGTGAAGTTGCAGAGCTCCAGGAGAGTGTGGCAGGTGTGCTGCAGTGTGAATACTGTGGAAGCAGAGGTTACGCTCACACGTTCCTGCGCTCCAAACGCTTCTGCTCCATGACGTGTGTCCGAAGGTGAGTAAATTGTTCACAAAGGAAGATGTGATTAACACATGTCTGATTCTCAGAGTGCATAGACAGAATTTTAGTATTTAAATCACTGAATAGATTTAAAAGTAGCTCCTGACTATTTGTCTGAGATGTTGATGAGGTATGCCATTTCTAGATCCCTAAGACCCTCTAATTCTGGTCACCTTAATGTTCCAGAGAGTAGATCTACGATGCACAGAGATGCATTCTGTGTCAAATAAAATCTTTAAAGTTCTCCTTAGGCTTGCGTTAATGTTGTTTTTGATGTAGTTTCACATAATTTGCTGGTATGCAACCTATGTATTACTTTTATTACTTCCCTCTGTGTGTTATTGTAGTTTGTCTTGTGTTTTCTCACTGTTAATTTATTATTTATCATCTTTTTTTGATGTGAAGCTAATCTTTGATTTATACTTGCTGTATGAATTTAGCTACAAATACAGATATTATTTATTACTAAATGCTTGCTATGCAGACACATTATACATAAATGATGTCTTGAGCTGATTAAGTCCAGTAGCACCATCTTAATAAATTAAACATATTTTTTCTTGTAAATCCAATAAAAAGAGTAAAATCAGCATTGGAACAAGTTTCATCCTTGCAGCCAAACCTGGTACAGCTTATTCATCGGCCCTATAGAGTTTAGTTGTTGTCCAAATTAAAACACACAAGTAAACTGCAATGTTTCTATCCTGACTTTTTCATTTCTTACCACCAACATTGGAACGGCATTTTATTTTTGAGCCAATCCCACATATACCATAAATATTCTCTAGAGCACCAAATATAAGTTAATCTGCTGCTGAAAATAGTCCCAAACCAACACACTATTTGCTACTGTTTTTTTTGGACATTTGTAGAAAATTGCAATGCTCTGCTTTTGAAGGAAATTCTATAACTGTTTTTGCAACTGAAATTATTTAAAGGCTGTGGGCCTAGAGAAATCTGAGAATGGCTGAAATGATGTTTGGGGAGGCTGAGTGGAGACTTACATCTGCAGATTCAGTTCTGCTGGAACAACATAATATGACAAAGAATCCAACACGCAAAGTTCTACAGTGGGTTTTCAGGGTTCGGATGAATGCTGGAGGCAGTGTAGTAAATCAACGGGAGACTGTTTTTATATATTTTTTGCTTGCCCTTTAGTTCACCCATTGGAAGTTAATTGCTCTTCAGTCACATTTTACCTGGGCAAAGTCCTACACAAAGTCATTGCTAAGCATAAATATCTCTATAAAGTGGTTGTGAATGAAACTGCATAAAACCGAGGTGGCTGCAGACACTGTTCGGCGAAACTGACTTTTTCTTTAAAGCTATGCCCTGATAAATGTATAGTATACAAAGAAAAAAAATAAAGACTACCTACTCCATGAAGTGCTAATGAGTACTTATGGGATATAATCCATTGCCTGTGTAAGTGAAAAACTTAATTCTGTGTTATTGTTCTGCCCATACCAACCCACTTTTTAAACTAAAAATAGATACAATTAAAAAGAAGAAAAAAAAGATTGGATTAGTAGAGATTTTGAAAGACTTCTATCTAAAGTAGGAACTTGTGGGCTTAGAGCTGATGGCCACAAATAAAGTGCAAGAAAGTCATGATGTATAAAGAGACTGCAGCATTAGCAATTTTGGTTATTGTCAGAAAAATTCAAAATAGTGTCAGTCTTATCTTTTAATGCAAATTTGATTGATGATATTGAATCTTTAAATTGTTTACAGTGTGTTGCCTCAGTTGAGGTTCACCACACTGTGAACAATGTGGAAAAAGTAACACTGTGGTTGTAATTTCATTAATTGTCAGTGGGGTGATGTTGTATAAGAACACTTTCTTCTGCCACACAAGAGACGTGACCTAGAGTGAAGTGCCATCTGTGTCAGTGGTGGTGAAAGACGTCATCTGGAGTCCACTGAGCTTCGTCCAAGCTGGAAGATAAAGTGTATAATCACTCCCAGGTTTCCCTCTGAGTCTCCATCCAGACATCAAAAAGAGGACAAGTCTCGACACAGACTGTCAGCCTGTCTAACTGTCTGAACTTATTTCTCACAGGAAAACTCAGTCTAATATTTCGCACCTCTTTCCGCTCAGGTTCAGCGTGAGCTGCACCAAGCGGATCACGGTGCTGCGAGCAGGCCGCTGGGGTCACAGGCCGATGGGCAGGAGAGGACGACCTCCCAGCAGAGTCAATGGAGCCTCCAGAGAACATTTTCTGAGACAGGTCAGTTAATATCATTGACCTGACACATACAGGGAGATACAGAGGTGCTGCAGGGACGGCTGTTCTCTGAGGGATAGCTAAATTAGACGAGAACAAAGTTTTGGAGGACAGGCTTGGCTTCTGAACACAGTTAGAAAAAGTGCACAGAATGCTTTGAGTTCTTCTCGATGAATACGATGTTAGAGAATTGTGTACATCTACAGGCAGGTTTTAATGTCTGCACCACCACTGACGTTTGTTACCAGATACATGTGGCCTCCAGTGTTGACCAGAAAGATTTTATTTAAATAGGCTTGAAGTGATAAAATACTTAAAGCATTCCACAAGAAGACAGCAAATAGTAGAGCAACATTTGAAAGTTTTTTTTCTCTACCATATTAATCATCTGCCTTACCTTTCAACCCCATGTGAATAAACACTTGTCCTATTGGAAAACTTTAGAAAAACTTGTAGTCAACAATGGCTGTTAGACATCTATTTTCTTCCACAAAACCACTAGCTGTGCTCCTAACTTGAGGAACAGCTGTCTGAGGAGGAAGTGATTTGGGTGCTTTGATTCCACAGTATGCGCACCGTCATTGCTTTTAAAATGTTCACTAAAAACATAATAGTCTGCCAGGACTCTGTGAGGGTCAGTCTGGAGAGCAGTTACCCACAACTGGAATAAGGCAGTCAATTAAAACTGCACAATGTGTGTCATACTTTATTTTTAAAATCCTGAAAGAGAAAACATTTTACCTAGTTTGCTATGACCTCTCCAACATGAACACATTCTAAACATAAAGCTTTCCACAACTACACACACATGAACAAACCGGCAAGCATGGATGAAAGTGGAGGGTGATAAGTCAGTTGGCAAGCTGGATGGAGATCTCTCATCCAATCAGCTAATTTCTGTGTTTGCTCTTAGTCAGACACAAAACCAACATTGAAACAGATTCATGGAAAAATCCAGTTATTTGGAAAGCTGCAGGGAGCTCATGCTTTTTACTCTGATATACGCTCTTTTGTGCAACTTCTTTCCCTGTATCTCTACAGTACATTATCCACATTAACAGGAAACACACCAGTTTGAAATGAACTAGAAGCATTCTTTAAGTAACTCTGTTACTACTGTGAGTAGTAGCAGATACTAGTTGCTACCAGTCAATGGAGGCTGATGAAATAATTTATGACTTTTCTTAACAGTTGCTAAGTGCTTTAATGCTTTAAAATGAAACTACAAGTTAAACAATAAAATATGCTAAGATACTGAGAATGACGAGAGTAGGACATAGATAATAATTTTTAAAAGGTAAATCATTTTCAGGAAGTGAAGAAAATGGGTAGCAATAGAAACTATATAAACACAATATATTTAATTTTAATAAAATTATTTTGTCCTGAATACATACGATAAAAAATAGTTACACGAAATGAAAAATGTAATGTGAAAAATACCCACAGAATCCGATGGTTATTATGTGTAACTAAACTGGGCTGATGTAAACTGAACATTGTGATGTCTACATCCTTTCTCATAATTTTAGCAATAATTGCTACAAAGTGGAGCAGTTAAACCCTAATGTCTCAAAATTGAAATAATCTGATGTTTCCTGCTGCTGCATGGAAACATTTCTTAAGCACTAGCTAGGCTGTAATCTGATGCTCACACTTTCCGCCAAAGCTTTCAGTTTAGAAGCACTTTAACAAACAGTAATTCACCATGTAGCATTGAAACAATGAAAAGTCACAGTGGCCGTTGTTTCCTTATTTTAAAAAAATCTTTTAAATACTGGGAAATATAGCAAACATTACTTGCAGCTTCTGTCAGGTAAGAACCCACAAGTTGCACGTCATCACTGTAAGCAGTCTTTCACTAAAAAACACAGGGACATGAGTCTGATGGTCTTTGTGCTTCACAGGCTCACGGGCCGTTTGACTCAGAGGAGACCCAGCAGAGTTTACAGAGGAAGGAAGAGGAGCAGCAGCAGCAACAGGAGGAGGAGGAGGAAGAGCAGCCTCCAGTTCCCATGACTACCAGGCTCCGAAAGCAGGCTGAGAGACAGCGAGAAAGGGAGCGAGAGCAGAGGATGACGGAAACAATCACTGTTTCTGATGGAGAGGAAGACGTCAGCTCTCCATCTCAGTGGAACGTGGAGCAAGTGTTTTCATATATCAACACCCTACCAGGTACTACTACTGGTACTACTTCCGCTTTAGTACAGCTTCTGTCACTTACTGTGTGTCAGAGAAGAAATTCATTTGGAAACCTAATTACCCACATTATGGAATACTTTAAAATTTTTAAAGTTGAGATTAGTCAAAAAATGACACTGAAACAAATGCAGAAAGTAGCTTTTATTTCAGACCATTTGTATGTCATTTTACCCAAAGACGTATTTTAATGTTCAGTGTCCTTTTCAATGTGCAAAATTAAGTACACACGAAGATGAAAAGGAAACAAAAGTGATAAAGTCTAATATTTGTTTGCTGACACTTAAAACCCTCTTAACCCCAAAACCTGCCACTCTAAAATTTTGCTCTTTATCGCAGCAAGAAACTGTAAAAATCAGAAAGAATCACAGGATGTTTCACTTTCTGGCAGTCATTAAACCACTCATCTCTGACTCGCCATTCCATCAGCAAAGTTAACTGAATCTGAACTTGGAATCATGATGTTTATTTAAAATAACTTTGTACATGTCTCTTTGAAAAATGTGCCAAATACAACCAGATCCCATAAAATCAAAAAATTCTGCACTTCTTGTTGCAACTTAGACATCATGAAGGACTCAACTGTGATCAGCAGTCATGTGAAAAAAAAACTTTTCAGCTGGAATGAGCTGAACGTCAAGCTGTGTTTACACAGAGCAGATAGAAGACAAGGATGGAAACTGTCATGAACTCACTAACAGAATGGGTGGACACAAATGCTTGACTCAGCAGGTTCAGGCAAAAGACAGGTTTAGTGGCAGTCAGGGTTCGGTACACAGAAAATCAGTCCAACAGGCAGAAGTATCCAAGAATCGGCGGGCAGAGACAAGGTTCAAAAAGCAGAAACAAGGTCGAGATCAAACAGACTGTGACTTAACTTGAATAACGCTGGTATGAGGACTGTAAAGTGCAATGAACTGGCGACGAGACAGTGAGACACACAGGGTAAAATACAGGAGGTAATGAGGGTAAATGGGAAACAGGTGCGGCGAGGTAATCAAGGAGAAGGTGAGACAAGACAGGTACAGGAAGTAACTAGAACAGAACACCCAGTGAAATGATTTCAAAATAAAACAGGAAAGACGAGACATAATGTGCAGACATGAACAGAAACTTGACAGACATGACAGAAACACAATCAAAATGTAAATAGTGATATATCTACAGGGTGTAGTGCTACTATTTTTCCAGTATTGGTAACAACTGTGGGCACTTGGAAAAATGCTGTTCATGTTGGCTCCATTTTTTTTTTTTCTTTCAATTTTTGTAAAGGGCTGCAGGGTGGCGCAGTTGGTAGCACTGTTGTCTCGCAGCAAGAAGGTTGCCGGTTCGCGTCTCGGTGGGGGCACCGGAATCTTTCTGCGTGGAGTTTGCATGTTCTCCCCGTACAGCGTGGGTTCTCTCCAGGTTCTCCAGCTTCCTCCCACACAGTCCAAAAACATGTTGAAGTTAATTGGTGATTCTAAATTGTCTGAAGGTGTGAATGTGAGTGTGCTTGGTTGTCTGTCTCTAAGTGTGGCCCTGCGATGGACTGGCGACCTGTCCAGGGTGTCCCCTGCCTTCACCCTGAGTCAGCTGGGATAGACTCCAGCCCCCACCCCCCCTAATGAGGATTAAGCGGTGTATAGAAAATGGAGATCATTTTTGTAAAATAAGTAGTCCAATTCCTCTGTTTCTGATTTCTGTCATTCTAGCTTTGTCATACTGCACAGAATACATTTTTTAGTTCTCTCTACTTCTAGCCATAGTTTCTATAGAAGTGCAAGACAATTAGCCCACAGTGAGTAAAACATGTGTCATAAGCAACAAACACCCAGAAACTGCGTGGAGTTCAGAGGGTTAAGGCAATGCTGGCAGCAAGTCTATGACACAGAACTAAATTTTCAGTGTCTCTGGAAATGGTTTTCTAAGCTTTCAAAATAGCTGATGTTTGTAAGCGGCCACTCTGTCTTCAGTCTCACTGTCAGGAGTTAAAAGGCCCACAATGGCTTAAATCTGCTCTCCAGTTTCTCTGTGTTTAGGGTCTGCAGTCTTGTTGCTGGATGAAAGTCCAGCAATGACACTGGAGTTGTTGTTGCTGCTGCCTTCATCAGTTCCATCCTCATCAGACCAGATTCTAGACTCTGAGGTTTGGGGTTTAAGTGGACAACCTTTCTTAAATTCGTTTTGAAGCCGACCAAGGGTTCATTTGTCTTCAGAACTTTCCACGCAGCTGCATTAGATAGATCCATGTCCTCTGCTGTGGTTTGTAGTGATTGTTTGTCTTTTCTCTTCTCACAGATGGGAGTTTTGTTTTTTTGCCACAGTCAGCTCTCTGGTCTTTATTCTGCGTTTTGTAACAAATGAAAAGATAAACTGAAATGTGGACTAACCTTTTAGGCACTGAGAGAAACACCTGTGCAGCGAGTTACACCTGTCAGTCATTAACATACTTTTGCACAATTGAAAGCAGTCAACAAAGCAGCTATTTCTGTGCACATAAACACCACGAAGGGCTGCAAGGTGGAGCGGTGGTTAGCACCGTCGCCTCGCAGCTAGAAGGCTGCAGGTTCACGTCCCAGTGAGGACACCCAGGATCTTTCTGCATGGGTTCTCTCCGGGTTCTCCAGCTTCATCCCACAAAGTCCAAAAACATGTTGAGGTTAATTGGTGATTCTAAATTGTCCGTAGGTGTGAATGTGAGTGTGCTTGGTTGTCTGTCTCTAAGTGTAGTCCTGTGATAGACTGGTGACCTGTCCAGGGTGTCCCCTGCCTTCACCCTAAGTCAGCTGGATAGACTCCAGCCCCCCCTCTAGTGAGGATTAAGTATAGACAATGGATGGATGGATAAAGATCACAAAATGAAAGTTGACGGTTTCTCTTTTTACGTCACATATTTTGATTTCACAGACACTGAAAAACTTAAATTTCACTCTGCTGTTAACATACAGTTGGAGAGCATTGTGCACTAAACGCTGGATGTTTTTAAAGTCATAACTTTAGTCAAAAAATAAAAAATACTGGTTGTGCACTTCTGATGCCTATGGCGGGAAGTTTCATGCTCATGTTCAGAATTCCATATCAGTGGCTGTTGAAAAAATATTCCAAATTAACTGAGATGTGAAAGGTTGTGAAATGTGTCTGTTGAATGGAATGAAAGTCACAGTGAATTGTAACTTCATGAAGAAAAATGATTCCTGGGCTAAAACAAACACTTTCAGTGGTTAAAGTGCTCATTTCTGCATGTTTTTCACAGAGTTTACTTCACAATCTGCACCCAGTGCTGGGACATCCTTCAGTGTGTTTCATCTTAGATTTGAAAGTTTGGATTCCCTGGTGTAAAACTATCAAACTGCCGTTTAGCTTTTTTTTTTTAATGTGCTTGTCAGATGGTTGGATGCATTTTCTCAAGCTCCAGTTTCAGCATGATACCCAACTACATATATAATAACTTGTATACATTTTGTTGTTGAAGGTGAACAAAACTAAAACAATTTCCATCTAGCTGAGCTTTAACAACATTGAAAATACCAGGGACTTTAACTGAAATAAACAAATATACTGGACTTCACAATAAAATGAAAAATAACTAAAACAGTATTATGTACTTACAAAACGAACTGAAATTTTTTAAAAAAAAACATACATATACAGGAAATGTATTTTGTTTTAAAAAGTCCTTCTATGTAAATCTTGCTACTTGGGAGCTATCTTAGTCATGGCCTCAGTCTGTTATTTTGGGCAAACAAGACCATGCTCCAGTCTAAGTCTAAAGGAGAGAAGCAGTACTGAAATTTCAATTCTCATTCGGACATAAAGACTGTATGTATAGAATAAGTCGTACTTCTACAGTGCTACTACTTGAGACGTTTGGTCAGTTGTACCTGCACACACACACACAAAAAAAAAGATTTAAAAACCATATAAAGATCAAAGCATGTGAGCACTTTTCCAAGCATCTGCACACAAACGCCATCTCAGTGAACACAGGCCATGATGCACTCTTGTAGCAGAAACCTTTCATTGCAACTCTGTCCTCCCTTCTGTCCAGGTGGTTCGGACGTAGCTGAGGAGTTTCGCTCCCAGGAGATAGATGGACAGGCTCTGCTGCTTCTCACCGAGGACCACCTGGTCAGCACCATGAACCTTAAACTGGGACCTGCACTCAAACTCTGCGCCCACATTAACTCTCTGAAAGATGCATAAACAAGCAAACATTCCTGCTCTCTGAGAATGTGTCTGTGTTGATCTGGACTAGGATGAAGACAAACGGAAGAGACAACAAGGGAGCTCCACTCATCTTTAAGCTCTTTGTTTTTGTTCTTTGAAAAGACACTTAAATCACCCTGAACTGAAACCATGAACTGCAGCTCTCCTGAGACCACTGCCAACATTCTCTGTAACTACTTGTCTCTCACACACTCCAGGGTTGATTTGAACACAAAGATGAGCAGTTCTTACGCTTCATTTTCATTGTAGTGATTGTAGCAGTTTGGCTCCAGTTATCCATTTGTTTCAAAATGGTTTTAAAAATTCTTTGTATCATTTATAAGCAAAGGGAACAACTTACCACTTCACACTATACACAGGAAGGTTGCTGGACAATGTCAAAGTTTACAAAGATTACAGATTATTACTTATCTTGGAGATGGAATTTGATACATTTATCATCAGCAAACAGCTGTAATGAATTATGAACTGATGACAAGGTTATTTATTGTTATTTATGATTGCCATAATTAATATACAATAAAACCATTTAAAAACATTGTTTTACTTTTTTCTTTATGTAAATAGGATTTTTTTTAATTTTATCTCATTTTCAATGGAAACTTAAAATGGGTTCATCTTATTTCTATTTATTTTCTGCATTTTCTTTTAACTGATACTTTTATTAGATTTTGCTAAGAAAACCGTTGTCACATTTAAATTTAACATTATATTTTAACTGTAGCATTGCTACTGTTATTAAAATATCTGAATACTTATTCATTGCAATACTGTAGCAGCAAACATAAGATTTATGAGACAAATGTTCAGATTCTTCTTGATCTTTTTGCTCTTTCGATGATTCATGTTGACAGATTTTTGAATTGTATTTTAGTGAACCACCACCAGAGGGAATCCTTGGGACCATTTCTGTTGAAAGCAATGCACAGTACTGAGCTGAAAATATTCTGTCATCTAAGTCATATAGACACAGTAACAACACGTAACTTTTCTCAGTGATAACTTTATGTTTATTTGTAACAAGCCCGGACTGTTCATTTCAACAGCGCTTTCTTACACCATAAGACAGGTTAAAATATATTTTTGAACATTGCTATAATCATTTAAGTGCAAAGGAGTACATTTCTCTACTGAAAAATACTACAGACTCTACAGTACGCTTTCTATGCTATACATAGGGAATGTGTTGGCTGGATGTGAAACTTATCAATGGAATGTTGAAAGTGTGCAGAGATGGTCTGAACGCAAACATCGACAGAGCTACAGCATACAGAGAACGTTTCCATGCACACTATTTGGTTTCCAAGGCTGCTGTGCAAAAGTTGTGGCATTTTAAGACATTGAGCAATATCAGTGTGATCGAAATGATAATGACAAATCAGTGCTCATGGAAGCAGTAAGGTCGATCAGTTTACAGGCACTGGAAAGACAAGTTTATACATTCTCAAATCTATCATTGCGCTACTTTACAAAATCATAAATTCAGACTAATTTCTTGCTATTTTCTTGGATATTTCCTGTAAAAAAACAAAACAACAATAACATGTAACTTGATACTAATCATAGGTAAAATAGTCAGAGAGTGCTCAGATGATACACTTCAGTCAGTTCCAAATGCTAAGCTAGAGCTAACTTAAGAGCATAGCAGATACGCTAAACAATTCAGTATATGTACTTTTTACAACTAATCAAGAATTAAAACAAATTAAACAGTCTCATATGTTTCTCTGTTTTACCTGTAATTAGTATTAAAATCTAAATGTTTGTATCCAGGAAACATTCAAGAAATATATTATCCAAATAACAGACATGTAAAATAAATCGTTATTGTAAAATGTTCTTTTTCTGTGCCGAGTTAGTGCTTCCTGCATTGTTTAGAGTTGACAATGCAAGAATTTTATTGTCAGCTGAACTCAAACCTAAAATGCATGTCAACACATAAATAAATTCCCCTGGAATGCCTCACAAATCCCTATAATACGGCGTATTTTGCGAAACTTTCTCACATTACTGGCCAGCAACCTGAGGCAGGACAAATGAGCAGACATTTATGGCTTTTTAAGCACTAGGAAATTAAGATTTGTTTTAGAAATGATAACCAGACAAAAAAATAAATTGACAGTATATCTATCTGCAAAAGAAGCCTACATATTTAGCAATTACAGCTGAATTACAGTATACAAAATTGCTAATATTATAAATTAAATTATAAAACACAGGAATGAGCCATTTCATGGGGGAATGTCTTCAGCATGTTGCCTCTCTGCTTCTCGCTCCTTCTCTCAAGCATGACATAAAAATAGTGGAACGTTTTTTCTGATGGGCAGCAGCAGCATAGCTTATGATGACAACTGACCCACTCAAACTCCACTGCGCAGCACACAGATGGAGAAGACGGGCAGGAGGATACTTGAGAATGAAAATGTCATTTCTGGACCTCGGCTGAGCTCAGGGCATGCTGCTAGAGCTGAGGTCGTCCCTCTCCACCGATATGGACTTGACCAGCTCCTCCACCCAGCGGACCTCAGAGGCCACCTGCTCAGCCAGAGCCTCGTAGCGATTTTCCAGGCGCCCAAATTTGCGCTTCAGGATGTTAGCAGCCTGCATGGTGAGCCGAGCGTCGTCCTGGCACCTCTTGCGCTGGGCCTGCGTGCGCTGCAGCTCTTGGCGGATGTGGCTCAGGTCGCTGGAGATGCTCTGGTTCTCCTCCTTGTACCAACCCTCCTTCTCCTCGTATATGGACAGCAGCGCTGCAACATCATCCCGGCAAGAGCGCTGATTGCGCTCCAGCTCCTTCAGGCCTTCCTCTGCTGCTGCGATCTCTTCGAGCACCTGGGAGAAGCGCTCGAAGTTGACGTAGGTGTTGTTGGGAGGCATGCTGGAGTGAGACTTGATGGTGTACTCCTTCAGACGAGTGGTCTTCAGGCGCCGGCGCTCAGGCTTGTGGTCTCTGTCCTCCTGGCGCACGTTACGCCTCTTAATAACCTGGAGAGGGAAAAATGTAAGGTAAAGGTCTTAACTAAGAATGGTAATTTGATGAACAATGACAAGGATGCTAACACTTCAGATGATCTCTGTTAAAGAGAGACTGGACTTTTTTTTTTTTTTTTACATAAAAGAAAAAAAAAAAAAAACAAAAAAAAAAAAAACAAAACAAAAAAAAAAGAAAAAAAAAAAAAAAAAAAAACAACTTCCAACAAGAATTCCCGGTTTTTTTTTGGAAAGGAATTGTGAAGACATTTCACAGATAAGCAATAAATTTATAAACACAACTGTGACTCTGTTTCTACATGATCTCAAACATACTGGATCGGTAGCATTTTGCCAATAAGAGCTGATATGTCAGCTCCATTTGACATACAAATTAGAGAGGAGAACCCATGAAAGGTGAATGACTCAAGCTTTTGGACACAAATAGTCACTTCTCAAAGCAAAACTTCTCAGTTTACTTTAGTAACAGGTAAACTATTTCAAAGTTTTAGAGCAAAGACAGCAAACACTTTGTATATTGTCATATGCCCTTATATTGGCCATCTGATGCAAGACACTTTACATTACTATATGAGCACAACCAGGCAGCCAATGGACGGAGGCCAGCTCATAAGTAATGTTCTCCCTGCTGCAGCACTTTAAACTTCATCTCCATCAGCAGTACATCAGCCAAAGTATAATGAATTACATGTAATAACACATTCACAAAGACATAAAAGCATGAACTCATTTCTCAGCACTTTAAGAAACTTAATTTAATTTTAATTTCTTAACCCTCTGAACTAAGCAAAGTTTCTGGGTGTTTTTTTTTTTTTTTTACTCCTGTCAGATTTTTCCTGACTGTGGGCTGATTTTTACTGTAATATAAAGTCCTGCACTTCTATAGAAATAGCAAGAAAGAGAGAAAACTCAAAAATATCGTCTGTGCAGTATAACAAAGTTGCATTACCAAAAATCAAGAAAAAGAGAAAATTGTTTATTTTGGGAGAATTTTTAAAATGAGAGAGTACAGTGATTCTGATGAAAAAATTTGATGTTTAGATTTATTTAAGTTTTCCAGTGGAACAGTACTTTTAATAGCTCAAGCACGATGGGAAAGCTGAATATTCAAGGATTCTTTCTATTTTCACAGTTCTGACTGGCAAAGGTGTCATTTTTGTAGTTTTTTTAAAAGATAACATTCCTTTCAAACTCGCTGGCAGGTTTTGGGGTTCAGATGGTTAATATTTATCAAGACCTCAGCAGCGAAGCACCTCACCTAAATAATTATTTGACTGTGAAAATTATGCTATACTGTGTAACTAAAAAAACACAAATTCTGGTTAAAATACCAACCTTAATCCAAGGGTGCTCAAGACTGTCATCAATGGTCATTCTTTTCCTGCAAAAAAGCAGAAATTATTAATTTTTAAGACCTTTAATGTTTCCAACCCAAGATTTCTCTACTTTTATAATTATAAACATTTATTTATATGGGACATTTAAAAAGAAAGTGAAAGAGATGCTCTACAAATGACAACAACATTTATTATCAGTTCCTCCCCCACTAAAAGGGACTTTTTTCAACTTCAAAAGAACAAAAATGTATAAGATTGGACAAAAGATATGAAGATGTTATTACTTTGGATCCTTGACCAACAGACGGCGTATGAAGTCTTTAGCCAGCTCACTGGTGTTGCTGAAATACTCCTCATCAAAGTCGTAGTTGACAGCAGATATGTTGGTCAGAGTCTCCTGCTTGGTCTCGCCCAGAAATGGTGAAGCACCACTCAGCCTAGCACAGACAGAAACTTTGCTTTAGACCACACACGGTGAGAAGGCGTGAAGTGAGCTCTGTTTGTACTAATGTCAACGGGCATCTTGATGTGAAACATTACTCACAGAATGTATGTGATTACTCCAATGCTCCTGCAGAGAAGAAAAGATAAATTAGAACTGTCAGGTGGGTTTGTATACAGCTTCAGAGAGGGGGGAAAAAAAGCATGATGACATCTTACCACATATCCGCCTCTAGCCCAAGTGGCTCATAGTTGACTATTTCTGGAGCTGTAAAGCACAGAGGAATGAACACTTTAATTTCAACCAGATGTGATCTGAAGCAAACATTACAACGTTAACCCAAAGGCCTGCGTGGACACTTTCTGGCAAAGCATCTGACTGCAAGTTGTGAATGTGGAACATTTTAGGCAAAGAGAAATGAATGTTTATGAGATCACATGCTCTCACCGACAAACTCTGGTGTTCCAAAGATGTTCTTGAACTCGTTTCCTGCTTTAATCTGATGAGCTATCCCAAAATCGATCAGCTTGATCCTGGGGTTGGGGACGTTCTTGTCCAGCAGCATGATATTCTCAGGCTGCAAGATAAAACAAAATGACTATACATTACTGGGGGGAAGGGCAGAAGGTTTTGTATTAATATGCATATGAAATAAATGCAACTTAGGGGTTGTTAATTAGATACATAATACCTCATTTGCATGTTTAAATAATACCAATTATTACTTGCAATAAAAAGTTTAAAATGCTACCCTATCCACCTGTAGTGTCTCCCCTTAATTAAATATGAACCTTAAGGCAAAACAGTGCAGATGCCCTTTAGCCAATGCCATTCCTCTGGTCACCATAACAACATTGTATATTAAGTATGAGTAACTGTCTTTTGTCTACCTTGTAGCCACTATTTGACCTCAAAATAATTCACAATTTTGATGTTAGAGATTTTGCCCCAAATATCCTTTTTGTATCTTTCCCCCCACATGCACCACAGCAGTCTTGTGTGTTGGCTTTGTTTTATGCTACTGATGGAAAACAACTCCAAACACAGAAGTGCCAAATACTTGCAGAATTACATAAGCGTCTGCTAACAACTAAACTGAATTTCTCACTAGCATGCGATCTACCACGGCTGGCCCACGTTCCCCCACAGACCGCTGACCTTGAGGTCGAAGTGAGCAATGCGTTTCGAGTGGAGATACTGAACGCCATCCAGGATCTGCTTGAGAAACTGCGTGGCCTCCTCCTCAGTCAGAGATTCCTTCTCGGCCAAGAAGTCAAACAGTTCCCCTCCGGACACCAGCTCCAGGATCAGGATCACGTCGGTCTTGTTTTCAAAGATGTCGTGCAGGGTGATGATGTTGCTGTGCTGGATCTCCCGCAGGATGTTGACCTCGCGCTCAATCTCTTCACGGCTCACCCCCCGCCGGCTGGACGACAGCCGCCGCTTCTTGATGAACTTGGCTGCGTACTCAATGCTGGTGCTTTTCTCCTTACATTTACGGACAATGGCAAACTGTCCGCTGCAGAAAGAAAAGTCCAGAGTGACATTTAATAAACAGTAGAGTTTTTTTTGGCTCAGGATGAGCCCTTGGGTGCAACAGCTATACTTGACAGTCCACATACAATAAAGGCAGTAAGCCTGTGTTACTTTATTTGACAGAGAGCTATGCCTTTCGCTGTTATTTCTGGCCATTTGATAAATAAACATGTCAATAGTGCTTGAGTGAATGAAACATAAATTAACAAATCAGATTTTTTTTTGTTTTTAATTCTTATCAATTCTTATCATTTTGATGTTGCCTAAAACCTCTACGGGTGCACGAAAAATTAACATAACCATGCTTGTTTCTTTACATTTTTTTTCCTGCCTCAAGTTATAATAATGACTGAATCCTTGACTGCTGGTTAGAGTGCATGAGCTAAATCTATATACCGGTCTATAACTTGTGATGAGGAGTGATCATTATTCTAATGCTGACTAGTGAATGATTCCCAACATTTTTGGCCTGTGCCCACGTCTACCTTGAGGCCACAAGTAGGCATGTAATTTAATCAACGAGATTACCACCTTTAACATATTTTAAGAAGTCTGAAGAGGTGCAAATATCAGTTAATTCACAATAGGACTGTGAATACTCCAATAGGCAAATAAAATATCTTAACACAAATACCTAATTTCCTTTACACAAGCAAAAAAAAAAACTGCTTCACTTTAAGAACATTTCAACTGGTTTCCACAGAAATCCGCTTGTTTGAAGAATGACACTTGAGCATTGTTTATATTAGAAAAATACTGGAAACATGTTGACGTAAACCAGAAAAAAGTGAAATATTCTCACTACACTGGGGGAAAGTTTTTACTTGTTTTAGGAAACTTAAAGGACTCAAGTTGTATTAATACAAGACTTAGTAACAATTACATTTTGTGGGTATTGTGTGAGCCCAATGAGAGGGATCTGATCCCAGCTGGGAAACACTGCACTAAGTGCTGGATTACATAAGAATAATAACCAACAGAATAGCTCGAGAGGTTAGTTATCTGAGTAGAAGTTAGAAGCTTAATAAGTGACTGAAGCTGCTAAAAGTAAAACAGTGTGTGGTCAAGACGAAACCAAATGTATTACTCAAATTATAGATAATGGAAATTAATGTTGTGTTATTACAAAATAGCCAAACAGCAATCAGTAGAACATGGTTTTAAACAAAAGGCAAAGCATATAAAAGATTACTGACACCAACAAAAAGGCCATTCTGCAGGTATGACAACAGCATTTCACAGTGCATGACTCAACAGGGAATTTCATTTGCACCCATTTAAAGTCTGAATACCTTTCTCAGCAAACACACACAGAGTGTCCTCTGCTTTAGAGACGCTACACCACAGCAGAGGTGGAAAGGCACATTGAGGAGCAGTGATGTCATGCTTTTGCTGCATTACTGCAGGAAAAAATAGCTAAGGTAGAAAGTTGGGGTTTAATCTTTAGAAATTTGATGACTCATTCACAAACTATCCAGCAAAGCATAAAAGGATATAAAATGATATTTAATAGGTTGCTGACACATATTAAATATTTTGGCCTTGTTCAGATCTCAGGTTTTGAAAAGACTGCAGCTCATACCTGGCTTTAAAATGCGTCTCAAGTAATCGTGTGTTATCTGCTTACGCAAGCGGTCTGTTTTTAATTTATGGAAAATTACAAGCACTCGTAATCATAAAATCATCGCTTGTACTCAGTTATGCAGCTTAAAAAAGGAACTGCTACAGATACCTGCACACGCTACTTTAAAGAGATACCATATATATGTGATAAATGAACACTCTGTGACAACACTACACTTACACAACAGTGTCAGTGAGCGTTTTGGGTGCATTGTATTCTGTCCTACAGAAACTGGGACACCTCAGACACATGTGAGGGTGAAGTTCTAACAGCGCTGACTACAGTAGAGGCATCAGCTGGATGCTATCGGACACAATGTGCTTTGGTAAATAAGGAGAACATACCTGCCCAGCTCCTCTCCCATCTCATAATACAACTCAACATCCTCTTGTCTGAAGCCAGCCATGGTGTGCCGCCTCGAACGATGATGGGATGATGCCTTGAGTTTACCTGCTATGAAAACGAAAACATTAACTACAGAAAGAGGAGAACAGACAAGACAGGAAAAAACACAATGACATATTAGTGTAGCCTGTGACATGAGTCGGGGTTCTAAGCCACTATTACAGTTTTCTCCCCACATCACAGCTCACCTCCAGTACCTGGTCCTCTATCCTCCTTATTTGGCCAAAGTCAACACAACTTTAACTTTCAGACTGCTGATGTCAGACCTCTGCATTCCAGTCCTACTTACATCATCTCCTGCCCTGGAACAGCTCTCAGACTCAATTAAAGGGACTGGGCTTTAGCTAACCTTCCAACTATTTCACCTTGAAAACGTAGTTAATGTGACTGAACTATAAACACAGTAAAGTAAAGATGTAGAAAAACAGCCAGCTGACAACACACCGGGGACAACCTAAACGGGTGCTGAATAGCGACTCTGCCGCTTATGTTACAAGCAGGCAGCAGACATTTTCCCGTGGACTATCATTACTAAAACAGTATGAAGAACTGGCTCGTTGCCACAGACACAAAAGGAGACTCGTGTCACAGTTCCAGCCTATTAATTTTAAGGATTTTCAACATATTTAAAGGAAGAAATCAACGGAGCGACGGAGGGAAGACAGCTAGCTTAGCTGGTTGACTAGCTAACGTTAACGTAGCGAATAAACACCGGCTTTCCCTGTTTCTGACAGGAGCAAACACACTAAACATAAAGTGAAATACTGAAATCAAAGTAAACATGTTTCCACATAAATGTAAAGATATTACTACAACGGATACTTACAGTCCGGTTGGCTACGAGTGCTGCATTCCTCTCCAGTAGTTGTGTATGAATTCGCAGACTGAGCACCGTCAAGCTAATGGCGGCTCCACACAGTGCTTCTGGATTGGTATTTCAAAATAAAAGGTCTTGCAGACGTTTGACAACTCAATGTCAAATGCAGTTTTATGGTATTTATTTTGCTGCACATTCATTCGGTAAAGCATTGCACGAGTTATTGATTTTTCAGTTAATCAATTATTAATTAAATTGTTGACGCCTAATCACTTATTCTTCAAAAGAAGAAACAAGTATAAATTCTCTGAATTCAGCTTCTTAAAGTTGAAAATTATAGTGTGACAGTACACTAAATATATTTGGAAAAAGAAAGACATTCGGCATCTTGGGCTTTGAAAAACATCAATTTCTCCTATTGATTTCTCCATCGATTTCAGAGTTTTTAGTACAACTGCTGTAGTCACAAATTTTTACATTTCAAGTGGTTCTGTAATACACACTTATAATGTAAGGATGTGCACGGATACATTATCAATTCCTCACCAGAAGCAGTCGTTTATGATGTTTTTACCTCCACAGCTATAAGTAGGTGACTATTCTGTCACCTAATCTAAAGTCTTCCTGTTTATTCTGTGATGAGCTGAAGAATCCAATGCCTACCTGTTTGGATGCACGTAGATATGACATCTATTTTCAAAATTGTTGGCAGTCAGTATCAGCCAGCCAAATAACGACAATTATTTCACATTATGTATCAATATTGTAGTAAGACTAACTGAGTTTTCGTTATAATTAATAATCTGTAGTTTACTCTCACAGTACAAACATTTGACTTCTTTTTCCGAACAGCAAAGAAAACTTTTATTATGAAGTTCATAATGGTTTAAGTTCCAGTGTCAATGTTTAGCTTGATGCAGGTAAAAATCTGGCAGAAGGACGACATATGGAATGACATCATGCAGTGAATCAAGCCGCTGCAGTACGTCAATGGAGAACAAGATCGAGCATGCAACTGCAAAGATTACAGAGAGACTAGGATCAAGCCATCACACGAGAAGTATCACTGGATAGAAGGAGGACGCTCAGAGATAACTTGTGCGTCGACCTGTTGTTTCTCATATAGGATGCAGGCCAAATAAAACAGATTTTGGATATTCATTATTTGCAAACTAAATTGTGATCCCAGAGACAAAAACTCACAAGAAAATGTATGTCCAAGCTTGAAGAAGGCATTCAGATTGTTTGCCTCCTCCACCGTCACAGTTCATTTCTTTAGCCTCAGGTAAAATTGGGTAGGAAAAGAAGCATTCTCTTATCTTTAGTGCTTTTTGTGACTGAACATGTACTAGTAGCACCACAGCAGATAGATCACCACTTGAATCATGAAGCTGATGTCTTTGAGTGTATAAACTTTATCCTCACATCCTTTTCATCCTTTTCAGTGGTAAATCCTAACCAGCACTTGCCATCAAACACACAGGCTGCATTGTCGTGTTCTCTCTATTAAGTTTTTTGCACTTTCTGCAACACCTCTGTTGGATTTTACCCAGTACGGAGGCGCAGAGGAGGGATGGTCACCGCTACTCACCGTGGGCCGAACCAGTACCACGACAACTCCACCGGGCCCCAGAGCTCCCACGGTGCCTCTCAGGAAGAAGCCAGCTACCTGAAACAGCACAACCACAACCTGGGCCTTCGAGTGAAGGAGCTCATCGCCAAGAACAAGCAGCACTTCTACAAGGTGCTGAGCACCAAAGCGAGGATCGGCCGGCTGGAGGAGCTCCTGCAGGTAAAAGAAAAAGAGCTACAGGACGAACGCCAACAGAGGAAGCTGGAGCAAGAAACAACAGAAATCCAGGAAAAGAATGAAAAACTGGAACAAGAAAGAAACAAATGGAGGAGGAAAATAAAGGACTCCAGGACAAGAACAAAGAACTGAAGCAAGCAAAGATGGAAATGGAGGTGAGCAATGAGAACCTAAAGAATGAGAACAAAGATCTGAAGCAGCAGAGAGCAGAACTAGAAGACAGAAACAAAGAGCTGCACGAAAACAAGACCAAACTGCAGCATGAAATACAAGAAGTGGAGGTGAAACACAATGTTGAGGAACGAAGCAAGAAAAAGAAGAAAAAGGCGGGTTGCTGGAGCTGGTTGTTCAGGAAGTCATGACGAGGAGGAGGCTCTTGAGCTTCTTCTGAATCATCCCTTTCTCACCCTTCAACTCCCCCTTTACGCCCTCCTTCAACTCCCCCTCCATCATCACCTCTCTGCCTTTACCTCCCCCATCCATCTATCCTCCATCTCAACCTTTCCATCCTCCCTCTGTCATCCAACGAAACCTTTCCTCC